CATTAATTTCAAATTATTTGGGGGTATTACTAAAATTTTCCGCTTTTAAACCAGATTCAACAATATCTGAATAGGTAATATTTTCTGAATTTGAAATTTTATCATTATCATTCACAAAAACCAATGTAGTACAAGGGTTTAGAATATTTAAATAGGAAACATATCTGAAATTGAACTTTTAACATTATCATTCACAGGAACCAATCTGGTACAACGTTTAACAATATTTAAATAGGAAACATTTTTTGAACTTGAAATTTTATCATTATCATTCACAGAAACCAAACTAGTACCAGGCTAGTACAAGTACAAAACTAGTACAAGTACAAACTAGTACCAAACCAGTACAAGTACAAACTAGTATAATGTTTGATTAGGAAAGATTTTTTGAAGTTGAAACTTTAACATTATCATTCACAGAGATCAAATTAGCACAAGGCTTAGCAATATTCTTAGAACAAACATTAATGTAACTATCAAGAGCATTAGAGTCATAAACTAAATTTTCACTAATTTTTGACTGGTAATGAGACCTAAAAAGCTTACACTTTAATAACTTCCAGCTGGGCTTTCGTTTCCTTGATTTGAGCATTAAGCAAACTGCGACGCAGGTTCATGTCTTCATGTCTTCGTCCGGATTTTCTTTCAAGAATTTATCCAAAGGCTGATCTTCAAAACCAATGGAATGTTTAAGAAAGTTCATTTCATTTTGGAAGTTCAGTTCACTTCATCGTAAGTCGTTTTCGTAAATAAATGAATCCATAACAAATCTTTCTCCGTGGGGATCACATGGTTATGAAAATTCAACTGATGAAAGATAACCAAGTGGCAACGTGTTGGTAGACAAGGAAACGAGAGCAGGCTTGCAACGTGTCCAAAAGCAACACCCGATTCAGTCTGATTTTGTTTCAATTTAGTTTTATCTTGATTGGTTAAGTTCCTGCTCCAAAATTTTAAACCATTATTGGCTGAAGCGTTATGTAAGCGCCTGTGTTTATTCAAGAATGATATGATGTTTATTAGTTTTGGATATGACCAAGTTAGAGTGATCTATTATAAACAGTAGCTAATTTTAGGAGAGAGTTAAGGGATTGTTTCAGGCTAAAGTTAGAACTTTGCTTTACATATTTTTTTCTATCTTATATACACATACATATATATGAGCAATACTTGCTTTGATATATGTTCTCAGGATTTCAAATAATTCAAAATAGTTGAAGTCAGGCTTCAATTACTATGTATACAGATTATTGAATGTGAAATATTACATTTGAAAAAAAAAAAAAAAAAAAAAAAAAAAAAAAAAAAAAAAACAGTTTAATGAATAAAAGCATAAAATTTAATCTTTATGTTCATTTTCCGCCTAACATTAATGTTCTTAATTTTTAATGAGTAGGAAAGTACATTACCTTTAATCTAAACCTCCACCAGGATTTGGCGATTAGGTCCTCTCATCTCCAGTCGCCCTTTAATTGGAATACTATATCAGGTATTTTCTCCCTCCATTCCGCATGCCTTCGTGGTATAACTGGAAGCACGATATACGCGTATTCGGGAGCTTTAAAGTTCCCCTCCCGGGGAGGGCACTACGAATTTCTTCAGTTTCCTGACATTGAAAATTCCAGAAGACTCTACAAAGCTTTGCTTCGGATTTTGTACTGAACGCACAGAAATCCGAAGAAGCTTCTTCATGCTTTTGCATATTATGTAGTAAGAAGGCATTATATCTTCCAATATTGTAATACTTTAGTATGTTGTATATCGATTACATTGACTTGTATATTTTGATGCATTGGCGAATGTGTTACATAGAAGCAATGAAGAGAGTAACAGCTGTAAAGCAGAAACATTTCAAAGGAAATTTCAAAGGAAAGCTCAATAAAATATATTATATTACAAAACAATTTTTCTGTTACTTTACATCGTTTTACTTTAACTTCAGTATGAAATAAATCGACTATATTAATCACTAATAATGCAAGTTCTTATTTTTAAAACTAATCGTTAACTGTATAAGAAATTATGCACCTAAAAATTAAATGCGAATGTATAATTTTCCTCATTCATATAATATTAAGTTCTGTAAGATATTTACTTTTACAAAAGTACAGCACTATAAAAATTAATGATTTTTTAATCCTTTTAATTTTAAACCAAAATGACAATAGTCTTCCTTCTTCATCCGAGTTCTTAATTATCCAAGGTACCATACGTTCATAGTACTTTATGGATTGTATTCTTTCACATCAACAGAAAATTCACATCATAAGTGCTGAGACTTCACACATGTATTCACTCGCGCTTCTAATATTAATTTTTACTTGGTGGTAAAGTACTTTTGCATCGACGATATTGTGACTAGTTAGGCAACTGAGATTTTATTACGTCGGCTGTTAAGCCCTTCCTTTAAAGTTAATCTGCTCCAATTTGGAAGGAAAATCTCCCGGTAGACTCCTTTTTTTCTCACCAGTAAACTTTTAAGACGAATTTTAGTTCGAAGGTATTTTAAATGTCCTCATATCGCAAATACATTACACACTTATGAGCATCCATGCCTTCTCCAAGATTCGAATCGTGACGCCATAGTTATGATATCTGACTTCCACCATGCCAACAGAGCGGCGGCACTAAAGTACTGAATATTTTTTCGTTATAATTAAAACTACTTGCTTCAAAGAGTTTTCAACAGCAGATATGATTCATTTTCGTTTAATGCACAATTCCCTCTACATTCTAAATGTACTCGTGTGCAAATTAAGAGAATTTTCAAATTATATCTATTTTTATGAAAAGTATTGAACCTAAAGTACGCAGCCGAAGAATTATGCAAACATTCAGAATCGAACAGGTAAGCGTATACATACTTGTCTGTGAAGCTGAGATTCTGAAGAGAATACAAGAGTAAGAAAGGTTTTAGGCGATTTGTGTGCTCATGTTCCTTGATGACATTCGCCGTGTTTTTCGCAAGAGTTAGGTAAATTTTATTAAGTACCAGGGAAAATGAGTAGCCACGAACGTATAGATGAGCTGGAAAATTGTCAGACGCGTCGAGGCAGGCCAATCACAAGCTCAGGTGGTTACAGAGCTCAATGTAACATCCACTGTTTTCTGCAATTTGTGAAAACAGTTTCAGGACACTGGATCATATCAAGAAGATGTGCACAAGGTCGGTCAAGATTCATAACGACGAATGAATATCGTTATTTAGCACTTTTAGCAGGGTGACACAAGACTACTACAGCTTCACAGCATTCACGTGAGTTTTATGCCGCAAATGGGACACGAGTTTCACGGCCTACAGCTGCCCGAAGGCTTCGCAAGATAGGGCCGTATGGGAGAAGACCAGCTGTTAGCGTCCCGCTCATTGCATCACACAAGACAACGCGTTTAGCATGGTGCAGACAACATGCGCTTTATATCAAACTTCAGTGCAGCACCGTGCATTTTACGGATGCACCGAAATTCAGCAAGGACACTGACGGCGTACCCGCATCTGGAGAGAACCTGGAACATGATACCATCCCTCCAATCATCAGGGGAAACGATCATTATGGTGATGGAGGTGTATGGTTTGGATACGTATTATATTCGACGGCCGCCCACTCCCTTATGTGCTTGACAAAGGTTCTTTGACTGCTATGAAGTATAGATCTTAGAGCCCTATATTCAACTTTTCAGGAGCGCAGTTGATCCTGGGTTTCCGCAAAAGGACGACAATGGTCGTCCGCATAGGTCTCAGGTGGTCGTCGATTACCTGGCAAGTGAGGCATCACATGGATTGATCTGTATTGATTTAGCTATTTTCAATAGAATTGTTATTAAAATTGTTTTATATTCCCGTGCAATGCAGCACGATACTTATTTGAAGAGAAATCTACGCCGGAAAAACTAAAATACAGGAGCATGCGCATCTAACATTTTAATAAAAAATATCTCGTAATTGTACTCTTTTGCTACCCAGAAAAAGTTGAGAAAATGCGAGAAGTTCCTCGTGCATTTAAAAAGCTTATAAAAGCTGGAGGAAAACATCTCAATTCAGTTGTTTAGAAAACTGTTGTTGTTTACTGTAGCGAATTCGCGGCGAGATCGGCTTAGCTTTCTCTACGCTTCTCTCTTTTGAATTAAGTTCTGTTGAAAGTTTTAGTAGTTTAAAAGATAACTACTGTGAGATATTGCGATATTATACGAATATCGTTAAGGAAATTTAGGCATTTTGTTTTTATTTGTTGTGATAAGAATAAATTTTATTCACTTTTCATCCGACTTGTGCATTCAATTTATAACGAACCCGTACGCACGCAACACAGAAGGCAACACAGGTTGTAAATGTGAGCCCTTTGGATGTTGGATGGATCTGTATTATTTGTATTAAAGCAAAAGAGTTTTTGCTAAGAGAAGGAATGCTTTTGGGGATGACTTTCCAATGAAAACCAGACCGTATTCATGTAAAACATGGAAAAATTTTTAAAATATCCATGCAACCAGTCTATTCACCGAGATTTGAATTCAGGTCGAACTACTTATATTTCGAGGCTTATCCACTCCATCTGTGGGACTGCAGAGACTAGGGAGCTCTGGACGTTGAGACGATCAATACAAACATTTTTGTTTAAATTTTAAGCATTCAGGTTTTCGTGATTTCTCCTCTCTACACTAGTTGAAAAAGTAATATTTAATAAATATTGTTGTGACAACTAAATGGCTATATTCAAATTATTTTATATAATTTTAGCTATTAAAATATTAGCCTACTTTTCAATGAGCATATCAAAACGATCTTATATGATATACAAAGTGAAACCATTATCAAGACATTTAGACTGTCATGATTTGTTTATTTTTCGCATGGGATGCGCAGACGAGATGAAGTTTGATCACAGACTTTCAGATCTCAATACTGAGATCTGTTGCTTCATATCAAAGTAAACAAGCGGTCAATCATTTTCGTATCAGTGACCTTCACTGGAGCATTGGTTGAAGATCATTGGGTCTGCGGAAGCATCGATCTCCACTATATGGGAAACCCGGACTGATAAAAACAACTAAAAAACTTTCTTCGTGTAATTTAAATTACGGTTGTAACGTTCAGATGTGAATCTCGAAATGTAAATACGTATAAGTAAATTCTGCTCAATATTTGATGAGGAAAATTAGACAAGTACAGTTTAGAATGAGAAGGTAAGTAAAACTAATTTTAACAGAATTTGTGAGAGCAATTATTTGATTTTAAGATAATTATGGGAGTTTACTTTTAGAAATGCACCTATGATTTAATTACACACATTTCTTGCAATTCGGCTTATATTTACGAAATTCAGTCTGTTGAGATTTTTGAAGTTATTGGACAACATGTGTTTCTTCGTATCACTTATAACAGTATTCTTACTTCATTTTCAAGGTATTATCAATGAAACGGTTTTTTAACTGTGTTGTTATATTTCAAGTCTGCCTGTATTGAAATAACTAATATAAGAAGCATATTTCTTACGTTTAAAAGCATTTTAACACCATATTGTCCTACAATAGAAAAGATCCTCTATTGTTTCATCAATCAGTTCTGTCTCTAACTGACTGACTGATGACTGAATGAAGAACTTCAACGGTCTTTCATTTTGATTTATGTAGAACTAACGATGTTCATGCTCATTTTGGTACTTGATGACTTCTTTAATGCAACTCAAGTCTCAAGCATGTTTTTTATTTAACTTTATCAAACTGGAAGAAAAGCAGGTCAGTTTGAAAATTAAAATTAGGGAAAATGCTTCAATCAGAATCTATCCTAAAGTTTTTTGATAAAGAATTTTTTATTCAAATTCCAAGCAAATAAACCTTTTAATATAAAAATTTTGTTCAAAACTAAGCAGATCTAAAGGTGTTTTTTTCTAACTATAGCTTTATTTTTTATCTAACTGTTTGAATTGTTTCTGTAAACTAGATTTTTATATGGATTTTGTTCGCTAGATTGGACAAGAGACCAAACTGTTAAATAGTCTTAATAAATTGTCTTTAATCATTCAAAAGTAATATCATTACAAATCTCTTCGTATATTAGATAATCTAGATTACATAATTTATCCCAAACATAATCTGAGATACTTAACTTGAGGAAATGATATCATTAGAATTGCGGCTGCCCATTTTCCAGATTGCCAGCGCTTACAAAGCAAGCTGTTGCAGTAACGTTCTATGAAAAACTGAGTATCCTTGTACTTATAGCATATTATTATAACATAATACCTTAAAAAAGTTTTAAGACTTAATTTAAGAATATCTATAAACACTTCATCCATTATACAAATTTTAATAAGGATGGAAAAGAAGAAACTGTTTCATTAATTGATGGTTTTTACCATAAACATCAAAAAAGCAACTCTGAAAATAATACAATAAAAGTATTGTTATACGTATCTCAACATCATGTGAAATTTCAAAACGTTATAGATATTATTCAGCTTAGTTGAATTAGTAACTAGCTTAGTTGAATATTCACTAATGCATCCATTTTAACGTCGTGTGTTTTACGTATGGGACAAATTGCTACCAATATATTAAGCAAAGAAAGATCTTACACAAGCTTTATTGCGACATATGTTTTGATTAGGAATATGTATTTTGAGGGAAGCCTAAGCTATCAACTTAGAATTATTTTGAAAGTGAATAACAGGAAATTTTGACATAGTTTATGTGCATAATTTTAACATGGCTTATATTTTGAAAGTGAATTATAGAAAATTTTAACATGGTTTAATGGTTTATATGCATAGCTATCATAAAAGAAGCATACGCCAGATTATCTGAAAAATTATTTGTTTTCAGGTTTATTATTCAGTTAGATAAAAAAAGTTGATTAATGCAAAAATTCAACGAAGTCAGAATTATATATGTATCAATATTTTAACATGAAACTTTACTGCAACAGTGCAGTATATTTCAGAAAGATATTTCTCTGCAACAAAAATATAAAACATAATTGCAAACATTTAAACAAACGACAAATTCTGACACTGAGAAGAATGTCCGTATCTTCTACGGGGCTAATTTCTAAAATTAGAAGTGTCGAAGCCGCATGGAAAACGTTCAGGAAAGAGAAATAAATGAATAAATAAATAAAATAACTATTAAAATAATATAAAAATTAGTAATTGAAATATTATTAATTAAAATTAAAATTCAGTAGAATGTGAAGACGTAAATGAAAGTTTAACAAATCAATAACTAATAGTTAAAAAGTAAAATAAAATATCGGACCTCTTCTTATTTGGTACTGAGGCTGGAATTACAATTTCATAAAAAGAGCTATGAAAATTCCGGCTAAATTCAAATCAAGAATAAACAATATGATTTTATTTCAAGGCATGATAGAAAAAACAAGGATCATTCTTTTTCCAGCACCAATGAAAAAGGTAAAATAGTTAGAGCTACTAAAAGGAATAGAGGGAATGCTCAGAATATCTAAGAAAATTTGGTTACATAGTCTTTTTGTCCAAAATGACATTTCGCCCAATCTTACTTCCCTTTTGTAACCTACGGATGAGTGTCTTTTCCTCAATTTCCCCAATGTCCTCCTACTCTCATCCCCATCATCTGGCTGAGATTAGGAACATCATGTGTAATCATCTCATGTAGCATCATGTGTAAAAATTATCTTAGTCCCATGTATAATATGCAGACGGGCGAGATGGGAGTTTTTTTCTATCTTTGTCTACCCTTTCATTCCTTAGCTCTTTAATATCTTAACTCCTACCTCCATTTTCACATCATTAGTTTATACTCATATCTACAAATATTGGTAAATTAGTTTTTTAGTGAATTTTCATTCATGAGTGTTAAAGTGTCCTCCTTAGCTTCTTTTCTTAATTTTTCTACCTTTTAATTTTAATTTAAGTATTAATTTATTCATATATTAAGAACAATTTTAGATCAAAAGCAATAATCAAAAGGTGTCTACTCCTTACGATAGTTAAGTAAGTGTAATAATATTATAATTTTCATAAATTAAATTTCCACATACGTCAAACAATACTTAATACTTATTTTTATGCAATAAAGTGACATTACTTTTTTTTCATTCGCATCTTCTCTAATTTTAATGTGAAACCCGCTATTAGTGCAGAATATCAATTCCGGGATAGTTATTTTAATTACTTTATAAGGTATTTCTACCACTTCCCTAGCGTGCCTTCGTGGTGTAACGGTAGCACGCTGGGCCGGTATTCCAGAGGTCCGTGGTTCGATTCCCGGCGAAGGCGTTGCTAACTTTTCATCTCTTCTGCTTCCAATTAACCTAATGACTCTACAAGTGGTGCCCAAACTAAAAGGGTTGTGGATGATGATCCTCCCCAACCAGGATTTGGCGACTAGGTTCTCTAAAACCCTAGTCGCCCTTTAAAAAGGGGAGTATATAAGGTATTTCTCCCACTTCCCTAGCGTGCCTTCGTGGTGTAACGGGTAGCACGCTGGGCCTGTATTCCAGAGGTCCGTGGTTCGATTCCCGGCGAAGGCGTTGCTAATTTTTCATCTTTTCTGCTTCCAATTAAGCTAATGACTCTACAATTTATGCGAGAAGAAATGTGCTATTTGATCCGTACAAAGTAACATTTTTATCATTCGAAAGTCATCTCTTGCCGTTCATGGAAATGTAAATATTCCTTGCCTGCTTTGCTATAATAAATAAACGACCGAGTGAAAATTTGTGGTGGTTAGTGCATGCAGTTACTATGCCGACTCTACAACTTATGGGAGAAGAAATGTGCTATTTAATCCGTACAAAGTAACATTTTTATCATTCGAAAGTCATCTCTTGCCGTTCATGGAAATGTAAAAATTCCTTGCCTGCTTTGCTATAATAAATAAACGACCGAGTGAAAATTTGTGGGGGTTAGTGCATGCAGTTACTATGCCGATGGACCCGGCGGCAAGGCCTGGATAAGGATAGTGCATTTCTGATGTTACGTTTACGCAGAATAAAGGCAGATAAAATCGTCAGGGCAGAGTCCTCGCGTGTGACTGGTGGCAGAGTAAGAAGTATATAAAACGTACACTAACTATCAATAATGTTGATTAGTTACGGTAGTTACAGTGCACTTGGTAATAATAGTTACAATGCACTTGGTAATAATAGTTACAATACACTTGGCCAAAATTAGGATAATGCATTGCAGACACTAAGCTATGTCTGCTAAACTTTAGTGCAAATCATGTACTCATTCTGTTTTCACCTATCTCTATGTACGCTTGGAATCTGAAGATGTCATCTACAAGTCAACAATAGCATTTTTTTCTCATTATTTGATAACAGTCCGGCGAGGACTCTAGTGGAGCTCTGTCATAAAATGACTACTTAGTTCAAAGTTGGATTCAGGTTTTTCAAATTTTTATTTCAACAACAACCTTCGTCAGTCATCATTTGACTCAGGATTTTTTTCAAATTAAAAGGCTTATTGAGCTGTCATGGAAATAAACCGAATTTCGTATGGTATCGCTAATTCCACATTTCATGAGATATTATTCAAACGCTCTTTTGTCATGCAGACTGATAAAATTAATATGATTTTTCCAAGCACATTTAATATCACACATTGATCACGTAAGATGATGAAACAAGACGGTTTTCCCACGCATTTTCATGAATCAGTGATTCACGAATATATGTTTTCCATTCATTTAGCACGATATAAATAAATATTTAAAAGACTAAAACAACGTTTTAATATTAATTTAGAATAAGCTACAATAGAGATTAATAAGATAAGAAGAGAAAATTAAACAATTAGAAAAAATAAGGGAATAAAAACTTAAAACAGAATACGGTTATAAAGCTATATTGTATAAGTTTGCCTTAGCAGGAAACTTGAAAAAAGGGCGTCCTATTGCGGCTTCGAACTCCATACCTAATACCTTACCTTGTATTAATAAAATACACTGCTGAAATTAAAATTGCTACACATTGAAGGAAAGCAGTTCGCAGAATCATAGTTATTTTACAGTTATAATAGAAGAATAAAACTATTAAAATTTCAAGTAGTTTTGAGATATAGAATATTCAGAAACAAGTATCTGGAGCATCCGCAATCCGGTAACAATACCAACTTTTATACGGCCTAGTATGGCGTAGAATAAACTTTCGGTGGAATTTTGGAATATTGCTCTCATGTGGTTTCAATGCTGCGTTTTCCTAG